TGGAGGGTGGGGCCACACAAAGGAACTCATACTTCTCTTTGCAAAGTTGCTACAGCCTAGCACTTACACCAAAGCAACACAGCAGTTGCTTACTGAAGTACAGAACTGAAAACTTTTTTTTAATTTTGGAACACGTGTGTTTTCATCTGTGTGACCATGTCCCCCTGCAGTGACCCACAGACTCAGGCTCACCAAGGTCCTCAGTGCAGAGGAGGCAGCAGGGCAGGAGGGAAAGGCAAGCTCAGGGCACCTTTGTTCTCCCTCCAGATCTGACATAGTTCAGGGGCTTATGTAGCTCTTGGCATCAGCTGAAAAACCAAAAAAATACAGTGACAGCCCCGTCCCAGTGCTGCTCTGACACAGCCCCGAGCAGCTGCAGGGTTTGGGATGTCTGGGACGCACCTCCGGCCTCGCTCCGAGGTGCCGTGGGCACTCCTGGGACTGCTCCAGCTGGGGTGCTGCTCATCCCACGGGGCACCATCAGGCCTTGCCAGTTCAGGGCACTCAACTTCCAAAAATGTGAGCAACAGGCAGCCCTGTGCTCTCAGTGCTGCTGGCACAGGGGAGCAAGAACAGCTCCGGAAAGATCCCAAGGGGCTTCTCTTCCTTCCTGGCCACTACCCCAAGTGTTCCACCATATCTTTCTTTTGAAACAACCATATTAAAAATAATAATTATATACCTGTTGGCATTTCCAGATGGATTCACAATACACATAAACCCAGTATCACTTCAAGATAAGAAACATCCATAGAAGGAGGATAAAATAAATAGTTTACATTATAGACATCTGAAAATCTGGCTAAAGGCACAGGGGAGGGAAGGCTTTCCTTTATAATGAAATTACAACTTTGAAATAGGAGAAAGATCACACTCCTGGGAGTGTGTGAAATAGTCAAATGCAGCTGGGGTTAAATTTGCTTAAATAAGGCTCTGGTTTCAGTGGGGTCACAAAAGAACAGGGAATTCAGCATGCATACATGTACAGAATCAGAGCAAACAGCCTTAGTACACAAACACAACCTCAGTCATGAAGTTATATTAACAAGTCTATTGTAGGCACTCAGGACGCCCAACACATTTGTTTAGGTGTGTTTACATCCTGGAGTAGCAGAGTTTGTGTCTCCGTATGAGTATGAACAAACATGTTTGCCAAATGAACTCCAGTTCCCCATCAGCTAATTGCTGTTAACTCCTTGAGTGCTGGAAACCCTGAGAGATGACAATGCAACACCTGAACAGCTGCCACCACGGGCACATTGAGCAACTCCAGCCTCACAAAGCCTATAAAGAACCCAGGAATATCCATCCCTGAGCTCTCAGTAGTTCAGTCCAGGCAGGTTTGGCTCACAAGGAACACAGAGGTGACACGAGCCTGGTTCCCTCTGCAGACAGTGCTGCCCACAAACCTTCCAGACGAGTCAGACAGGTCACAGCCCCTGCCACAGGTACAGGCTGCACGCCTTTAATCACCACGGGGACCTTCTGGTTTAGCAATGCCGAAAATTAATCTGTGCCAGGTCAAAAGTGCTTGAAAAGAATCCAGAAAACTCTTTTTAGGTGCTTATAATTGGCTAAATAAACACACACCGACGTTTCTGTGCTACTGGTCTGATACTCAGCGAGTGCAGGCACACAGTTCCTGATTTTCTGTGCTGGTAGGAGAAAAATGTGGATGTTTCCCAAATTGTGGACACCAGATACAACTTTGTACGTATGCATAAATATTTATGCTCAGCAATCTGTAACTGTCACTGCAGAGGCTGAAGTACAGCAACACTGTAAGGGAATAAATGCCTCACTATCTGTGAACTCTAATTCACTCCAGGCTGACCCAGTTCTTTGGGAAATAAGCTTTTCCAAGCTGTTTCTTTGCTGAGAGTCCAGGCCTTGGAAATATCTTAAACATACAGCGCTCTCCTTAAACTTTATTGCAAAAATATGTGGAGTGCATGGCATGTATTTCTGGAATCTGGGCAGCTTGTGCTATACAGAAACTCAGAGATGTGAATCTCCTCCCTATTTTTAACTTTAATTAAAGGAAAAACCAAGGACCCAACAACCCAAGGGAAAGCAAAACCCACAGTAAAGCAAACATAATGTTTGAAACAAGAAACCCAGTAGAAAATAGACAGCCAATCTGGGATGAGGCAGAGTATCCCAAAAAGAAGGGAAATCAAGGTCTCCACACTAGAAATGCAGTGACTCAAGCACGTTGTTAGCAAGCTTTCATCTTAACTTTGTTCACCATCAGTAAACTTGGCAGCAAACTGCCCATATGAAATAGAGGTCTGTGATACTGCTGCAGTTCATTCAAGGGATAAAGCTATCACTAATCTCATTCTGAAGCACACAGGGCTCCCAACTCCCCTGGGTCACTCTGCAACAATCATCACTATAAAGTTCCACACAGATTTAAAGATATTTTGGTGATTAGTGGTGTAGGGAAACTCAGTCTAAACATTAAACTCACCCTTGGTGAACACACTCATCGTGCAGACTTTCTTTGCACTTTTGAATCTGCTTAGCACCACAAAGGGGGCAAACCCATTAAATCCACAACACACACACAGAAGGACGTTTTGTACCCAAACCAGAAAAATGGAACCCATTTCTCCCCAGCTGCCCCTGCCCCCAGCAAGACATCCTGCTTCCTGCCCTTCCACACAACCGTGTCTGGCACTCAGGGAGCCTGGCAGTGTGTGTGCTGCTTCCAGTGCCACCCCACAGACCCACCCCACAGTCCTACCCGCAGATCCCTGCCCTTCCCAGCCAGGATTCCATCAGCCCTGTGCTGCTACCTCTGGATCACTCTCCCTCTCTCCTGGCAAGGCAGGGAGGGGCAGTGTTTGATGCACTGAAGGTCACAGATGTTTATGTACAACAACACCCCAGAGTTCCCTCTGCTACAGACATGGAAACCCCCCCCCACCTCACCCCCTGCTCTCCCCCGAGCCTGGAGCAGCACCTGGGCGGGTGCGAGGGGCACAACCACACCCCAGCAGTGGAAGTCAAACACAAGGCACATCAAGTGTTTCCTAAGAACTACAAAAAGATTCAGTTTTGACCTCTAAAATGTATCTATTTTATGTTTCTACAGAGAGTATTTTTGGAATATCTGCAGAGACTCATCTTTCAAGTTACCTCTCTGGACAGGAGTGGATACAATGGACCTCCACCCTGACTGCTGAAATTGGGATAACTGCAGTAACATTGTAGAAACAAAGGATTAGATGAATATACCAAAAAATGAGGAACTGTGAAGGGACATCTGCTAAAAATGCTGGCCTGCACCTTTTGCAATACGTAATTCAAAGAAAAAAACCCAACCAACTTCAATTTCAAATTAGTTTTCTCCCAAAAGTCCATTTACAACCATCCCCAAAAGTGACCTCAAACATTCCCAATCATGTAGTATCACAAATTAACATGACTCTATCAAAAGGCAAAAACTTTAGCAATTTTTGATCATTTTGACCAGTCCAGTTGCTGCAGCATTTCTTGCACAATCGTTATCAGTCTGTCAAGCAGAGGAGAAACATCTGGGATCTGTCTGTACCTGGACATCAAATCCATTCACTAAGCACTTTATTTTATATAGTTCCCTTAGGGAACTTTGTAGAAATAAACAGGAGTTTAAATCATTAAGGCTGAAGTTACACGTCAGGCACCATTTTCCTAAAACTCTCTCTCTGTCAAGGTCTACCAAAACAAAGCTATGGCTTCTTGATCAGAGTCTCCTCTTTGCCCAAACCTCCAAAAGACCTCAGACTGCCAAAACAGAATACAGTCATTACAGAACAGCTGTTTCCAATATTTTAAGACTTACTTGAACAACTTGCAAGTTCTGGTTAACTGACTTCTAATTTTACAGTGGTTGCTGCAGGATCTGAGACTTGTTGGATAGTGCAGACTGAGGATTTACACGCAGGATGTGCTTTATGCACAGTATGTCACCTCTGGCACTGAGAGCACCAAAGCAGCCCTGGTGTGTGCTGGAGCAGTTGCGCCCTTGGGAAAGGTAAAACACTTCCCCCAGGGAAATGACAGTGGCTGTTCTGGAGCTTTCTGCAGGTCCAGCTCTGCTCTGGCCCATCCTTTTTGACCAGTTCAGGTTTCCCTGGGTGTTCCTTCAGCGTGATAATGACTGAGATCACCTGGGCTGAGATCATCTGTGGTAGGGCAGGAACTCCAGTTCCAACCCCAGTGAAGTCAGAGCACACACACACACACATTGACTCTTACTTGGGAAACACAGCAGGATTCTCGATTATAAACAAACCCTTAGTCCACACAAACCCCAAAATAAACAAAAAACCCCAACACACCCAACCCAGAAACACACTTGCACCCCATTTCTCACCACTATAACTCACTTGAATATCTTTAGCTGTTTGTACTAAAAACCTGCTCTCAGATCCCTCTTCTCTGCTGCACACACAGTTACCCAGGACTGCCAGCCCCAAACACAACGTTCTGGAAGTTGGGCAGATGTGGATTCCTACAAAAATGAGGTTCTAGAGCACTGTGCTGCCACAATGAGACAGGAAGGGGAATCTTTGACACATACATTTTGCAAGAGGCTGGAAACACTGCAGGAACAGGCTGTAGGCACTGTAGGAACAGGCTGTAAGCTGTGAACACCACTGTGTAAAACCATTTCCCCTTGGAACAAAGTTCATAACACGTTTGCTTCCAGAGCAAGGCTGAAATCCCCCCAGAACACAAAGAGCACTGCCCAGGGGGACAGGGAGGGTCTCTAAGGAAGGTGTCTGGGTCCCTGCCATACAAACCTGGAGAGGGACAGAGCTTCCAACAGCAGCCGAGCTCCAGCCGTTCTCCACCGCCTCGTGGGGGCTGCCCATGCATTCCACAGCAGAGGAGCACACGTGCCACTCCTGTCCATGCAAAATTCTGAAAGGACAGGGAAGTTTCTGCATTTTGTCATTCCTCGAGGAAATCTGACCCCGAACAACACCTGCACACAATGAGTACCCAAGTGAGGAAGTCATAAAGAGCCAGCTGCCCTTTATTTAAAATGCCCTTTGCAAACAACTTGCTTTACATTCTTTTGAGAGAAGCAGAACTGCCAGAATCCCACAGCCACAGAATTCCACATCAGCTCCAGCACCATCAGCATCAACAAAGCCTGAGCATCGTGTTGAGAGAACTGCACTTGTGTTGGGACTGAGGCTGAGAACATGGCATGGTTACAGTCACGGACACTGGGATACCAGAGACACTTTCTTGCAATAGAACAAGCTTGGACTTTTAAAAATACAATCATTATGTACAGCAAAATATGTGGCCACAAGACCAGCCTTAAACCAAGGCGTTGTTTACACAATTTCTGCACTGTCAGGAAATATTTTGGCCGGGAATGTCATTTTTCTTCCAAAACAATTATATATTTGCAATTCTCACTGTGAAAAGAGCAATATACCACCTCCGTATTGACACGGGTGCAACATATTCCCACAGGGAAAAGGAATAAAAGAGTACCTTTATATTGATACAACATTTCCCTCAAGTGTCGAAGCTAATATAGCTTTCATTACTCAGTCAAGTTAAAGCAGGATGATTTTTTTCAGACTTTTTCATAGACAAGACCTACATTTAACAAGCACCAAAACACTTCAGAGTATTTGGAAGATCAGACTACTGAGCTCTACACTTTGTACTGTCCCCACCAATCTTATAGAACATTAAACACCCAAATACATTTAAACCCCTGATCAGACCATGCCATGGCTGCTTAAATGCTTCACTGGTTAACGCACACACCTTTTGGGCCAGAACCAGAACGTACCAAAGAAAGGCCCAGCACAAGGCAGAGCTCAGCAGGCTGCCCTCAGCTGCTCTGCCAGGCTCAGCAAAGCCGGACTTTGTGTGCTACAAACACCCGTTTTTGCCTTGTCCTCAATCACAGCACAGGCAGTGGGGAAACAGAGGCACTGGAGAACATGAGGGATCTGCTGGTCCTTGGGGAGGACATAAAAAACACCTGCTTTTATCAACCAGAACAAGCTGCTGTCCATACACTGACCTAGAGCAAGGCCTGTTGGGCGCTAGAAGCCCTACATTCCCGTGGAATTTAAGGCAGAATTGAACCATGGCAGTAGCTGAGATGTGCATTTATGACATTTTTATCTAAAACTTCAGACATGCAGTTTTTAAGCTGCAGACATGGCAGCAGTCGAGCTTCCTTAGCTTCCAATGCAGTACGTGGGTTAAGAGAAGCCCCTGCCAAGAAGAGTTATTCCCCTGCCCTCCCAACATGGGAGTCCTCTGGCTTCCAATTCATTTTTAGGAATTTCTGGAATGAGGTTTTTGATTTTCACTTAAAAATGGGGGCTGGATCAATATTTCTGTTACAAGCAGGCAGAGGCAGCAGTGAGGGACCAGCACCAGGGCTGCCTCCTCCAGCCCTCAGTTTGGGCTGGGATTGTTACCAGTGAGACTGGCACAGCCCCAGGGATGGGATCAGAGCAGGTCCTTGTGGAGGGGCACACGGAGCTCAGGAGGAGACACATGTTTTCAGTATGTAGGTATTCCAAATTTTCAGGAGATATTTGACATTGCTACAAAAAGTGTCCAATTCTGACCACAGCACAAATTACAATATTCATTTCGATCACTGGGATTTCAATACATAAACTAACACCACACATTGTTCTTCCAGTGCTGAGGCACAACATTTTCCTACTTAAAATGACCAGATTCACAGAGGAATCATGGTAGTTAGTTTTCTGTTGGCTTGATTAAAACCCCTTTTACACAGCATTGCTCAACCTTTGTTCTTGTGATGTAAGACAACTTCAAGTCTTCTTGGGATGGGGGCAAAAAAAAAGGAAACAAAAGAGTCCCGGGTTTCGTGTGCAAACCTTTAAAGAAGAGGCAAAGAGGAAGATAATGGGGGTAAACACACTCCTTGAATCTTCCAGCTGAGGGGAGGCACAGATCTCCTCCCAACCCAACCCTCAGCAAACCAGGAAACAAATAAAGATACAATTTATAATTTTAAAGGGTGATAATGCAACGAAATTAAAAGCTTAAATTTCATAAATAATTGACCTTTAGAATTTCACCCCAATAAACCACGTTGCTTCTAGAAAGGAATAAGGGCCTAACCTTACAAGGGCTGTTGCATTAAGGGCACGCTACCTTCCTAAAGCTTCCTCTGAGCACAGCCTTCCTCTCACAAGCTGGCATCACACTGGGCCAGGACCTGAGGGCAAGCAAAACACTGCATTAAAAATGACTAAATGTTAGGTAAAACAGCAATCTTCTGTTTTGCATGTTTTTTAAACGCTGTCCTTAGCTAAATCAACCCCCCACCTTTCACTGCCACTGAGATATAAAGGCCTGTGAGAAAGTCAGTGTTTCGTGTGATACATAACAGTGCACAAAGTTGTTTTCTAAAAAACAGGATTTGTATTAAAATGGATAGACATCTCTTCAATGCATGTCTGCAATTAAAATGACAGTTGTTAGAATTTTCTTGGTACATCACAACGATAAGATTTCCTTCTTTGCTGGCTGGAGGTACATCCCACGACAAAATCAAAGGGAAAAAGAACAACAACAACAAAAAAAGCCCCCCCCCTCAAAATCCCAAAAGGCTAAATTCGTGTAAATTTGAAGTAAATGAAGCCCGAACTTGCAAGACATGGAAATAACAGTTAAAAGGCTCAGATGGAAATAGGAAATAAATTCCACTAACAATAGGCCCTTTTGTCCTGCCTTGCTCGGTGTGATTACTGCAAGGAAACTGTTAAGTAGTTTTTGGAGTAGTAGATAATGGGATTCTGTGGAGCTTTCACAGGTTGGCACCGGCTGGAACAGCTGAGTTTTGAAGGCACTCTGCAGACACAGGGCTGCTGTTGGCCCTGCATCACTCATAGGAAGTCTTTGCACTTGAGAGAGCTAGTCATCAAAATCAGTTATTGCCAACCCAAACCCAAAACCCCTCGGCAGAAAAAGCACCATCGCTCCCACCCGCCAAAGGAAAAACCAAAACCACAACGAAATCACACACACACGCACGCCTCAAAAATTGTGCAGATTTGTAACATTTTCACAGCTGATTTAAGAAAAAAATAAACCAAAAACAAATAAAACAAAAACCAGGAGAAACCCACCACGCTACCACTCTCCTGCAAACTCCCATCCGATACAGCAGGTAAACAAAATAGAGCATTATTCCAGGGATATCGGCAGCGCTGCCCGGCGCCCCGTGCCTGGCAGCACCGTCCGGGTCACAGTCCCAGTTCCATGTGCAACTCTCCGGGCGGGACGGCCCCGCACCGCCGCCCGCTTGCATAGAGACCCGGGGAGGGCGGGCGCGGGGCCGCGGGGTGGGCACCGCTCCCCGGGGTGGGCACCGCTCCCCGGGGGTGTCCCGGGATGCCGGCACCGCTCCCCGGGGGTGTCCCGGGATGCCGGCTCCGCTCCCCGGGGGTGTCCCGGGATGCCGGCTCCGCTCCCCGGGGGTGTCCCGGGATGCCGGCTCCGCTCCCCGGGGGTGTCCCGGGGCGGGTTCCCCGCGTGGCTCCGCTCCCCGGGCGGCGGGACCGGCTCCTCCCGCGCCCGCCGCCGACACTGACAGGAAATATGCCACGACCAAGACTGGACGAAACGTACATGCCGAGAAAAGCCACATTTCCAAGACGATGAATTTGTTGCCGATGCTTTTGTTCCTGCGGGGCCGGGGCCGCCGCCGCCCTCAGAGGATGGCGCAGGAGGCGCAGCACGGCTCGTCCCCGTTGGGCTGCGCCGCGTAGTTCATCTGCCTGACGATCTCGGCGAAGAGCTCGTCCACCGAGGCTTTGTTTTTGGCCGAGGTCTCCATGAAGGGGCAGCTCCACTCCTCGGCCAGCGCTTTGCCCTCCCCGAAGGAGACCTCGCGCTCGCCCTCCAGGTCCACCTTGTTGCCCACCAGGATCATGGGCACCCGCTCGTACCTCTTGACGCGGATGATCTGGTCCCGCATGGGCTTGATGTCCTGGAAGCTCTGCTGGTTCACCAGGCTGTACACCAGGATGAAGCCCTGCCCGTTCTTGATGTAGAGGTCCCGCATGGAGGCGAACTGCTCGGTGCCCGCCGTGTCCAGGATCTCCAGCACGGACGGGGACGAGTCCACCTCGATCTCCTTGCGGTAGAAGTCCTCGATGGTGGGGTCATACTTCTCGATGAACGAGCCGGTCACGAACTGCACGGTGAGGGCGGACTTGCCCACGCCGCCCGAGCCCAGCACCACCACCTTGTACTCCCGCATGGCTCCCGCCTCCCTCCGCCGCCTCCCGCTCGGAGCCGCCGCGGCGGGCGGGGACGGGGCGGGCGCGGGGAGGGGACGGGGGGCGGCCCCGCGCCGGGGCGGGCGGGCGGCGGCCGCGCCCCGCGGAGCCGCGCCGGGACAGCCCCGGCCCCGGGCAGTGCCGGGGAGGAGGAGGAGGAACGGGAGGAGGAACGGGAGGAGGAGAAGGAGGACGCAGCGCTGCCGCCACCGGCCCCGGCCCCGGCGGGACGGCGCTGCCGCGGCCCATGGCGGCCCGGCCCGGCCCCATTGGCTGAGGCGCGCGGCCCGCCCCCGCCCATTGGCTGAGGCGCGCGGCCCGCCCCCGCCCATTGGCTGCGGCGCGGCTCCGCCCGCTCCCATTGGCTGCCCGCCGGCGGGCGCAGCAGCGCACGCCCCGCCCCGCGCGTGTGATCCCCCCCGCCCTCAGCGGGACCCGGCGGGAGCGGGTTGGGCTGTTCTGCTTGCGGTCCCTCCGGAGCGGGTTGGGCCGTTCGCCGTCCCTGCCCGCGGTCCCTCCGGAGCGGGTTGGGCCGTTCGCCGTCCCTGCCCGCGGTCCCTCCGGAGCGGGCCGGGCTCCCCCGGCTCGGGCGGAGCCTCTCTCGGCCCTCCGGGGTCCCGCGCCCAGCGCGGAATGGGACCGGCAGGCGCGGCCCCCCCTGCCCCGGGTGCCCCGGCCCGTTCCCGGCGCTGCCCGCCCCGCCCGGCCCATCACCGGGGCTGTGCCCGCAGCTCCGGGGGAGCCGCTGCCGGGGTCGGGTCTCCCCGCAGCCCCCCGGCCCCTCTCCCTGCTCGGGTGGCTCCAGAGGCTGGAGTTGCCCCCGCCGGCGGGAAGGGGTCCCTGGGGAGCGCGGGTTGCCCGCGGGCTTGGAGCCCGGGGTGATCCCGAGGAGCCTCTGCCAGCGCTGCCCCGCTTCCCTGTTGCCCGCCCCGAGCCGGGACCGCCGCGTGGCTCGGGCTGAGGACGTGGCCGTTGCCAGCCGCTGATGCTGTTGGCACTTGGTGACCGGCGGCGTGGCCTGGCAGGGCTGAGTCACAGGGGCTGGCCGCTGGCCACTGCTTCTAGAAGTCGTCCCTTAGAATTTCCATGTCAGATTCAAGAAAGTGTCATTAGTGTTTTGGCACCCTCCAGCCTTTGGTGTTACATCTTACTCAGTTCTTTACTATTCTCAGTATTAATACAAGCAGTTGTGGTTTGTAGGTCCTTTCTGCCACACCTTCTTCTTTCAAAACCTAATTTAAACACAGCACTTGGAGCAGACAAAGACTGAAGGTTTTGAAATAGGCTTTGCAAGTAATGTTCTCTTACTCCTGAACAGCTTTCAGAGGCTAAATTCTGAAATTATTTTTGCAGCCCACAGGGTGGGGATTTGTCCCCATGGTCACCTGGCGAGTGGCGCACCCCTGATGAGCCCCTGGAGCTCAAACTGAACCCCTCTGCTCTTGATGTGTAAGTCTTTGCAAATAAACCTCTCCTGAGGAACACAGACCTTGTGTTCCAGCAGCCCTGCTGTGGGGTGGGCAACAGTTTAAACAACTTGCTTAAAAACATCTCTTTTCCCAGCCGCGCCGCTCTCCGCGTTGGGTGGGTGGGTGCGGTCCTGCCCCGTACCTGGCAGTGAGTGCCCTGGCTGGGTGGGATGCTGCTCTGCCAGGCCCACACCTGGTGTCTCCCGGGTGCACAGTCTCCTCACTCCCCTACAGATCCCGTGGGCTGCTCCTGAGCTGGAACAGCTGGTGTGCCTGGGGTTGGTTTTACCTCCCATGGCAGCCCAAGGGCCGGGCTTTGGTCCTCTCTCTGTTCTAAACTCTGCCTGCTGCCCAATAACCCCTACCTTGTGATGGGCCTGGGGGCCCTCTGTTTCCCAGAGCAGTACTGCAGTTCTTGGAAAAACTCAAAAAGACCTCTCTGAGTGCTTGGAACCTCCTGTTTAATGAGTGAGTTGTCTCTCAGTGACTGCTCAGCCCATCCACAGGTGTTGGCTCTGGAAACTAAATAACTGAGCTCACTTGGAAACTTTTAAACCGTTTCCCCAGCAGCTCTCCCTGTTGTTCCTTTCCCCCTCCATCTGATTCCCTCTCCCTGAAGCACTCTGGAAGCACACCTGCCCCATCACACACCTTGGTGTGAGCCAGCCAGGGCTGGCAAGGTTCTCTTTAAACCCAGCTGTAGCAGTTGCTGAAAGGCCATGGTATCACTGCAGAACCTACTGTGCTCAGGTTTTGGGTACAGTGTGGGTTTGCTCACCTTATTCACCTCTGTAGCAAGCCCCCATCTGAATTACCTGTATCGCCCTTTCTCCCAACATGCCAGTAGCCAATTTCATAAAGATCAGACTGTAAGGTTGGTTTAAATTCCAATCTATTTAATCCCAACTCACCGCTGGATTGTGGTGTAGGTTGTTTTTTCAATGACAGAATAAAATGACACTCTATTTTTTTATTCTACACTATGCTATTAATTGCTGATATTTCTGAAGAAGGGAATGTGTCATGTTCAAAGTAATAAATGATCTTTATGCTGTTGAGTTTAAGTATGGAATATTATTTCTCAAGTCCCAGTGCTCTACTATATATATTAATTTAATCTCTTGTTACCAGCCAGCTCTAGGTAATTACTCTGCAGTACAAGGAGTCTGTGGGAAGTAACTAAAAAAAACCAAGTCTAGTTTTCTTAAAAATGAATTTCCTGTGCATGGCTACAGACCACTGAGGGATCTGCAGGTTGGAAAAGTTGCAAATCCCTGGCTGAGGGTTTAGACATTGAAGTTAAATAAATCACGAGAGTATTCAGCACAAAATGTTTGACTTATGGAGCACACATTATATTGGGCTGTGGTGCTTCATGAATGGTACTGTGCTTTAGATTCTCAGAAATAAATTAATATTCTCCTGAAAAAAGCTCTGGTTGTGCAACAGGAAGGCATGACAATGCAGCAGGGTCTGGGCAAAATATAATCATTAGAGCTGGTTGTATTACTTTGATTTTAAAAATGATCAAATGTATTTCAAAAACTATTTCAGGATGATTTGATGCTATCTTAAAAATGCCAAACTAAAAATGAGCTGAAAAGCCTAGATCTGGTTACTAAGCAGTTCACCATAAAATATTTACATGTATAACCAGCTTTTACTGCAGTGAGTAACCCTGCTTGTTTGGTACAAGTGCCCACACCAGGCAGGGTTATTTCTGTGCACAGTCAGAAATACAGAGTCATTAGCTGCTGCTCTCAGTTATTTGTCTGTGCAAGTAAAGCAGTGGGTTTGGAGTGGTTTTTAATGTGCTGTACTTATTCTAGGCAAAAACTAAACAAGTGTAGTTTAGATCAGTGACAGATACGATATCGAAAATTTCAGTACCCTGAAAAATTTGTCATTGTCTGACAACAACAAGATTTAATGTTATAAAAATAAGTAAAGTCTTTCTGGTGCTGCTGAAGGGACCCTCTAACCAGCTCTTGTGGTGCTTTTTTAAAGAGGCCCAGCCAGAGCACTCAGAGCTGTGGGATCAGTGGCAGCAGAGGGACGTGTCCCCTCCTGAGCCCTGGCTGAGCCCTCCGAGCTTGTTTAGAGCAGTGTTTTACAGACAGACTGTGCCATAACCCAGGGACAGACCTGCCGGGAGGGCTGGCCTGGCTTTGCTGCTGGACCTTCGAAGGCCTGAGCTCTGTAAATGAAACAGAGCTACAGTGCAGGAAATGTAAGGCTTTGAATAAAAAAGGCACTTTGAAAACCTGCTCAGAATCAGGTGAGTGGATGTGCTTGTGTCTGAAACCTGAAGCTGCAGCTCTCGGGTGGGAAGAGCTGATACCCTTCAGTCAGAGTTTCTCTGGCTCTGGTGGTGACTACACATTGAAATAGTTTCTATTAATATGTGGGAAACTCTTGTGGCTATGAGAGAGAATTCTGAGATCATAGTGCTCTGTCAGGTACCAGCTAGGCAGGGTGATAATTGAATTTAAAGGCTACAAATCATACTAAATGTCCTATTTTGATTTCTCAGCATTGCTGCTGAGAAAATCCCAAGAGAAGATGGGGCTAAGGATACTGCACACAGTCATTGCACTCCTGAGATCAGCAATGTTCCCTGGATGTAACAGACATACCTTACCATTTACTTAGGATTAAATTATTTAGCTGGTTCATAATCCAATATAAAGCAGTTAAAGTCAAAAGAAATGCTGTTCTGTCACTCCCATACTGTCAGTATGTGACATTTATGTTGGCAGTAAACTTAAAGGTAAAAGGAGAATAATTACTGAGGGAAACTAAGAAGATGAAATAATCTCCGAGGGTTCAAAGAACAGAATCACACTGTGTTTTCTGGCATTGGACAAATCTGGAGAAATTTTCCAATGTTTACTCTTTTGGAATATATAAAGTTGGGCAAGGTTTCTGGGCCTGAACCAGTTTTTAGTGCAGTGGTGTACGAAGAAGTCCTTATTTTGGATTTGGCAGCAGGATGATTCAGGTTGGTTTGGGGTTCCTCTGGGGGGGCTGAGGAAGGAGAAGATGACAAAAATAATTCAGCATCCAACAGCATTTAAATATAATATTTAACTTGTCTGGACCTTGGGTTATTCTTGATAATTCCATCTGTGAATACACATCTGCAACAAGACTGCCTCATGGGTGTTTATCTTAATCCAGTGCCATCAGGATTCGTCATTCCAGAGTTGAGATGTGCACATATGGAGTGAAACAAGATGATCAGGGTAATTCCAGGGACAGGTTTTGTTATAGGTGAGACTATTCTGGCTTCTCAAGCCCCAGACAGAGGGAACTGGTAGCACAGACTGCAGGTGACTCAGGCCGGGGTGAGGGGCTGTTTGCAGTGCCACGAGCTGGTTCCTGCCCTGACTCAGCCAGTGGAGCATCTCCCTCCTGCCAGAGACTTCCTGAGCAGGAGCTGCTCTGTGTGGAGTCATCCCTGTCCTGCCTCTCCTGTGCCTGCTGGGGAGGTGGAGCTCCACTGGGACTTTCCTCTGCCAAAGATCCTCAAACGCAAAATACCCAAG